TCTCTAACCATTCCGAAATCTGTTTATCAATTTCACGCTGCTCTGGGGCCTGGGGGGGGACGCCGTGGTGCGCAATGAATTGGAAGTTGATCTGTCGGCATTATCTTTATCTTCAGGGCAGATGTTTTTATTTTATTTGGCTTATAATTCCTTACTAAATGTAGTATTTCATCTCGATATACTCCATTTTTTATATGATTTAAATCAATATGATATACACTGGTTATCATAAATTAAGGAAAAATCACAAAATACCGACAACTCCCTTAAAAAATAAGCCAAACCGTGTAAAATTTGAATATGTTGCCAAGTAAGAGTAGCCGAGTAAAACTGCGATATGCAAATTAGTGGCACTGCACTCGGAATACGTCATCTGTGAGGAGAATAAAAGTCCATGTTTGAGAGCAATTACACATATTGCACTGTGATGGTGACAGAAATCTGAGATAGCCAATTCGTAACAATGACCTTCAGGCATCATTTGCCTGCAGAACTACGATGGAGAGCCATTGGGAGACTAGAGGCAGGATAAAGTCAAACAGAAGTGGCCAGATGGCTAAATGTGAGGCCTTCTGTGGTTCATAGACTTTGGAGGCGATTTCAAACCACAGATTCGGCCTCTAGGAGGTTTAGCCAAGGACCGCCAACTGCTACGACAAGCGCTGATGGCCGATATTTGACATTATGTGCATGCAGGAATAGAACCGCTGTTCCGACTCTTCTTAGATCCTCCCTTGCTGCAGGCACCGGAAGGTTGATGTCAACATCAACTGTGCATAGAAGGCTTCACGAAGGTGGTCTGTATGCGAGACGACCAGCCATTTGCGTGCTGCTGACGTGACACCATAAGAGGGCCCGTTTGCAGTATGCAAAACAACATGTCCACTGGACACATGATAGTGGAGGGCTGTTCTCTTTATGGGTGAGTTCAGGTTTAATCTAGAAAATGATAGTAGGCGTTATTTGATATGGAGAGAACCTGGAACCCGTTATCAGACATTAAAGAGATGCATACGGAAGAGGCAGTGTCTGTGTTTGGGGTGGCATCTCTTTGGGTGGATGCACAGTCCTCCATGTCTCCATGTCCAACGGAAACAGTGAATGCTCCGGTTTATAGAGATGACATCCTTGATGCTTATTTGCACCCATGTGTCAGGGCGATAGGTGATGCTTTCCTGTTACAGGACAATAACTGAAGACCACACTGGGCTCGCATCATAGATGATTATCTTCAACAGGAAGCAATTATGAGCAGGGAGTGGCCAGCTCGATCCTCGGATTTGAATCCTATCGAGAACATTTGGGATGATTTAGAGAGACGTCTAGTTGCTCTCAGTCTGCCCCCTCAGATCCTTGCCGTGTTTGCAACAGCTTTGCAAGAACAATGGCTCTCGCTTCCTATGGAACTGATAGACCGCATAATTTAAAACATCATGCATCACTGTATGTCCTGTATTGCTTCTAGAGGCGACCATATTCCCTATTGAAGGTACTTTTCCTATAGCAAACTGACACCTTCAATTTGTTCATTTTATGCATGTGCTAATTTCTATACTATCATAATTGTCTGGTAATTTATTTTTATGTTACTTGATACCTTACTATGTGTTGTATATTGTGGGCAAGTTTCATAAAATTCTACATGTAACTCTTTCAGTAATCATGATTTTTGTGATTTTTCCTTAATTTATGATAACCAGTGTATATTCTAACAAAAAATTACAGATAAGGTTTTTATTAATCATCTAAATAATAATAATCAGTAAAGCCAGAATATTAGAAATGAAACTTATTCATCAGTTTCTGTTTCCTATACTTTACAATATATTAAAAAACAAAGAAATCTTCCAGTTTTCTGGGTTAATGCATAAGATTAAGTTTAAAATTCCACTGTGAATTTTTTCTAAGTTATAAACTGTAAACAGTAAGTGAAACTAACAGAAAAAAAAGCAAAAGCTAGGTAAATATACAAGTAAAACTAAGGGTAAATGAAGAGCAGATCCACGAGCAACCAGTCTTCTGCTGTGACGTCACACTTTCGTGCTCAGGTCTTGTAACTATCTAGAAAGCGTTGGCTCTGTCTGCCTGAAAATGTACGCTTCCATACAAGCTCATAGGCTGCCCGTACAGTGTCGCATTAAGAAATAGAAGGGGAAAAATGAGAAAAAAAAAAAAAAAAAAACTCTCTCTAAAATGAAAGAAATTTTTGATAATGAAGATTAATGATGTCTTTGCATATTTCTTGATATAAACGTTTAATCTGTTTTAAAATAATAACAATTAAGGAAAGGAAATATTTTTCAGCGAGTGTACCTAAGTCATTGGAGAAGTGCTTTACAATCTAATTCAAGAACGTAAAGGTTTTTATATAATATCCCATTATACTATAAAAATAACTTATTATGTTCTTTAATTACATAACATCTTTCCCAGCATATAATTAGTCTTAGCCATATAGCATTACAGATAGCTGTTGAGGAACATCAAAATGATATTTTTTTTCTTTATCCAAGCTCACACACCCAAAATAAATAAATAAAATGAAATAAATAGGCAAAATTTTCAAATTTATCATTGAAACGTTATAGCTAACTTCTTTATCAGAAAGCTAGAAAGTTTTTTTTTTTTTGGCCTAAAAAAAGAAAAAAATAAGTAAGTGATAAAAAAAAATGAAATAGATATATTTGTGACACATAAAAATGCAGACTTAAATACTCCATCTATTATAATTATGATCAATATTGTTATCAATCAACCTAATTACGATCAGTTTTCATGTATATGGGATATATAGAAGTTACACAGAGTTAGAAAGTTATGCCAACATTAAATGCAGAATTTCATAACCTAGATGCTAAGATGAGCTTAGTTACAATTGTAGAATGAATTTTTGCAGACACTTTCTATATTGAAAGTAGGCATTGGGAGCAAATATTTGCTATGTACGTCTAAAATCCGCGCATATTCTAATCAGTTTTAGTTAGTTTTTCAAACTGAATATAGTTTTCGATTGCATATATGTGTTGATTAATATATTAAATTACACACAAAAGTAATATTTGACCATTGGTTTCTTGCAGAGTTCGCCGAATTGCATTAATTTATTATAAAAAATCAAGTTACAGCTTTAGCTTTGTACATTATATTAACCCAACTCCCTTGCATTTTTGTGATATTAGCTTCCTTTTTCATTTGGGTATTCTTCTAATTCTCATTTAATTAAAAAAATGTTTCCTTTTTGTTGCAGTAAATATTTCGGCGTTCAGATTATATCACTGTTAAGTTTTCTTTCTTGCACTTCTGTGATAATAGCTTACCCCCTTTTTTTTTGTGTTATTTATGTATTCTTTTTAATCTCCTTTATTAAAAAAACTCTTTATTGATTGTGTTTTCATTGTATTGCATTGCATCAGATTTATTGGCAGTATTTCAGATGGCAGTATTTATTTCAGATGGCAGTTATTTATGTATTCTTTTTAATCTCCTTTATTAAAAAAACTCTTTATTGATTGTGTTTTCATTTTATTGCATTGCATTTCGCTTTTTCAGATGGCAGTATTAGTGTAGAATTCTATAGAGCATGTGAATTATGCAAAACACAGTGAAAGTTTTTTTTTTTTTTTTTTCCCCAAAACTAACATTTTATTGTTAAGAGAAAATGAAAAAAATTCATGAAATCTTTTTGCTGTGAGTAACACTTAAAAAAATCATTAGTTTTGGGTAGTAGTTTAGTAATTCTAGATGAGCTTAGTTACAAAAGCTTTATTTATTTATTTTTTTAAATTTAAGACATGCACAGGTATATAATAGATGAATAAAATTATTAAAATAAATAATCTAAATATGATATGGCAAGATACAGGCATGTAAAGAAAAGTATATCTTGATGTCGAATTGACCCAAAGGCGAAATATAATGATGGCAAAATGGCGGCAGTGAATAGTCCCATTCCCATGAACTGGGCATAGTTGAAAATTGATTGCCCAAAGTATTTTATTTTCAGAGGAAACTAAGAAAATTCAAAAGTGGAAAATTTTTTTAAGGTTTGGCAATCTTTAAAACTGAGAAAAATATTCGTTAAACAGAATCCTCCCATTAAATAGAGAAATATAGAATGAAATTAAAAAATGTTGTTCTTATGTGTTTATCTCAGTAAAGGGAACAAGTGAAAAATATTTTATATATTGTTCTGTCACCAATAAAACTGCTGTTATCTCTTCATCCCATTCACCCATTCATATGCACATCTTTCAGTACGTCTATGAAGGCCATTGACCACCAATCTAATAACCGGTAGGTAAAGCAATGACTTCCGTGTTAACAATCTGCAGCATTACAAATGACATTATATCACATGTATAGATTCTTTTGGTTGTGACATACACCATAATTCCTCAGCTTAGGAACATTTTATGACCTAAGGTCAGGTAAGGTGCTAATATATAAGGTGCATGACTGTATGATCTATGAAGACATGTACAAAATGTTTTCTTCTTTTGGGCTATGATGTGTTTGGGCTATGATGTGATTTAATTTTAATCTAGAATTTGCTTCATTCATCGCTCATGGACCTATTAATTCCATATTTGCATGCCAGTGATGGGATTGCTTCTAATACAAGCATCAGCTTTCTGTGAAGATAATTCATAATCATGATTAATGTAATTCCTATCATGAACAAATTCAGGTAATGTGTTTGTTAGTTTGAGTTCTGTCTCCTTATAGATTGCATATTTTGATATTTTACACCAGCAAACATGAACAACCATAATACCAGGTTATAAATGCTCATTTTGTTTTCCTATTACACTTGCATCTAGGAAGTAGTACTAATACTCATGATACTGCATTATTAGTTGCTTACATTTCCTACTATGCTGTAGATATGTCATGTAAATTTTAGGTCCATTGAATATTTCCTTCTTAATGTTGTAATTTTAACAGACAGCAGTTTATGTTTTGGACTTTTTTTTATATAATTTATTGAAGTTAATTTTCAGGGAGTTCAAGCTCAAACTGTTGCAAATTTCAATTTAGCTCGCTCACATCATTTGGCTGTAATTCCTGTTCTGAATAAAATTGACCTAAAAAATGCCAAGCCTGATGATGTGTCCAATCAACTGACAGCTTTATTTGGAATAGATAAGGAGGAAATATTAAAAGTAGGTATGTTTAAGAAATTTTTTTTCCTGTAATGAATGCATGTGTTTAAATTATTTATTCAGGAACTCATTGCTGTAAAAATAGTCTGTTAATTCATAAAAGGAAAAAAAAAAGCGTTTTTGCATATTTATATTTTTGTAAACATTTCTGCATATGGGTAGTTAGTTTTTTTTTTTTTTAACCTGGAGGCATCATAATTAAATCATGTTAACAAAGCATTGTTACATCTGTTAAAATAGTATGTTGATTTATTTGCAGGGAAGGGAGAAAAAAAGCATTCCTTGTCCTTACTATCTAGAGACATTGCGATTAAGTTTTGTTAACAAATCATTGTTCACTTAAAACAGTGTGTTCATTCATGTAAAATTTAAATAAGTAAATAAACTTATTTCTGCATTATAGATATTTTTTTTGGTAGAGATATTTGGATTAAATTGTATTAACAAAAAAAATTCTTACTTGCTTCTTTGAATATGGAAAGACTCATGAGGACTTTGCTCTTTTAGTTACTGCATAGTGAAAAATTCAATTTTCTTGATTTTTCTTGAACCACATTTCTTCTAAAAACCAGTATTATTTTAATCTTTTTCTATATACTTTAATCAAACCTTATTTCAGATGTTAATGGGTAATTTGAAATTTGGGTAAATGTCATGTATACAATTGTTTTAAAATTTGATATTAGAAAACTGACTTTCAGAGCATTAAGATTTTGTTAATCAAAACGTGAAGATACGTTTACTTGATTTGAAGCTCATTTTCCTTCTTCATATTTTATACTTAGGTGAAAAATGCTTAAATAATGACTTTGCTCTAGAAAAAGCAAATCACAGGTTTGGGGCTTTTAGATAAGGATATTAATGGTGATCAGGCTATGCATATGTACCTTTTTGCCATATCATGACACCTGTTATGTGAAGCCTGTGCGTTTAATATTATAAATTCTCACTATATAAGGTATTTCTCTCGCCTTAGCATGCCTTCGCAGTGTAGTGGTCTGCACGCTGGGTACTTATTCCAGAGATCTGTGGTTTGATTCTTGGCGAGGGTGTTACTCATTTTCCATGACACCTGCTTCCAAAAAATACCTAATGTCTCAACAATTATATTTCAGATATAGCAGATATATGTTGCAGTTTGCTCATCTTTCTGGATTTCCTATAACTAGTGTTGAATATTAGCTCTTCTACTAGTGATACCTCATTGCTTCCATCTTTATAAATGGATGATTTATATGGAATAGGAAATTTTGATTATAATGAAAAGCAATATTTGAAATTTCTTCCCAACATAATGCATAAATGCAGCTTCTTTGATTTTCATGTTTGACATTTACATTCTGTTAACATTTCAAGTTAATATTCTGTTAACAAATACGAGAATAATGGAAACTTTTTAAAGCTTGACTTAAATATTTAATTTAGGTCCTGTAGGCCCCAGCAGTTTCAGGAAGAGCCATCATGCTTCATTATTAACTGTTCTTGTGATTGCCATCAAAATCTGTAAATTGCCACAAGGCCATTTTCTGTTTCTGTGGCTGAAATCATGTTACTCATTAAACTCTGTTTTACATTTAAAAAGAACTTCGTAGAGAATATTTTGTTTGCCTGGCTGAGGATATGCCTAAAGACTTTAGCAGACTATATTGATTTCCATAACCAGCAGCTTTCCAACTTCTGAAACAAAGTCAAATATCCTTAGACATCTTACAACATTCTTTTTTGTTGAATTATTGGTAGTTAGTAGCAAAACAGATTAGGAACTAGAAAAACAGATTTAAAAAGTGTTGCAACAATCTCTGAGGCAAAATTATTGAATTTAAGTTCGTTATGAATAGTCATTTAGTTGTGTTAGCAATTCTCAGAACTAGTTCACAGTTAAGTTGAGGTGTATGAAACATATTATGAAATGCTTCGTGTTAAAGCAAAAATTAAGGATCGAGTTCCAATAATGGTCATAATAATTTTCAGCAAATACACTTAATGAGGCAAAAATCATTCACCAGAGGGACATTTGTGTATGTATTCACCATAGGATCACCAAATATGTTGATTACACCATTTTCACCACTGTTGTAACATTTTGAAAGAAGCTGTTCAACAACAAGAGTCATTTTATGCATTCATCATAGGAGGATTCTTAATCCACTGAAAAGTTTCTTGCAAAAATATTACACCATATGTAACTTATTCTTTGTTTAGATTATTGATATTTCTTTATTAATACTTACATCGATGTGTATTCTTTGTTAGATTAGATTATCATCATTTTATTTTAATGTATAACAGATTTAAATCTCTGAGCAGGAAGAAACCTAAAGATGTTAAGATCCAGTGATCTAGCAGACTATTCAACAGCAATATAACACCTGATCTCAAAATTCAGTATCCAAGGTTATAAAGAGCTTACCCTAAAAATCCTTATGGTATGTAATCTTTGCTTCAGCCCACTGTATGGAAAGAGCATCTGTCTGTACTTGCTAAGTGAAATAAGGTTGCAGTGTTTGAGCTGTTACAAAATATGGGATGATAGGCTCTGGCATAGCAGCAATTCGTTCAGTTTCGGTTCCAATTGACATTACAAAATTCATAACTTCAAGGCCAGTGTCAAGGAATTTTAGTGATCTGCACTGTGTCTGTCACCAAAGCCTCTCGATTTGAAGGAGGCTGACGGTCCAATGATCCTGTTACTCCTCTGATATCGTTTCAACTATAAGCGCTTCAGAGGACATAAAATACAACGACAGCAACAACAAAAAATAACAAGAGGGTGCGACTAATTCACTCTATAAACTGTTTTAGACGTGCATTTCCGAACCCTACCGCACTTTTCGAATTTTTGACGTCACAGATAAGTCGACTAGTTTTGCCTGGATGGTAATTCTTGAACATGAGCTTAAGAGGCAAGAGGTAACATAAACAGAACTTCGATATGCACTTGTAAACAGTATTAAGTATATAGTCTGAAAGTGCGTTCTTTTATGTAATTGCATAATTTGACTGTTTCTATAATAAGAAACCTTCATTCATATAAAATATATTTTAATATTATTATCCGGTTATAGGATTATATGAAATGTTGAATACTGTAGGTACTATCGTAATCTTCACATACCTTTCACATTGGATTTTGCCTTATGATTGTAAAATATATTGTATTATAAAGATTAAATCAAAGCAAGTTACTTTGTTAGAGTAATTAGAGATATGAATGTTCTAACTGGATTTTCTTTTTATCACTTATTATTTTCTGCTTTGAAAACACATTCATATTTGACAAATATTAACCCCGCTGAAAATTTTTTCTTTGTTTAAAAACTATATTTTTCAATAATGTAATAAAAACTCACTAATCTAGTGCTTCGTAGATCAATATGACAACAAATTCAAAATATTTTAAAAACAGTTCTTTAAACTTTCATTTGTAGTAGATGCAACTAAATGGCACAGAGAAAATATATTTCAATAAAAAAATTCACCATAGTAATTCAATTGCAAAATTATTTGTATTTCAGTGAGAAATCCACTTTCAATGCTTATATAACAGAGAGATGTAACATAAGCATTTTAGAAGCTTTAAAAATATAAGCTAAAGGTTCACTATACAATTTTATGTAAGAGGCATAATAATTTACTTTCATTCCTTTTAAATTGGCACATTCGTTTCCATTAGATAACTAAAATTTTTGGCAGAGACTTAACTTGAACACACAGTATTCCATCGCTTGAAATATAAATTAATTGTTCTTTTTCATTTAGGGGTATATTGGAATTGAAAATATCAAAGGGAAATGGATCACAGATCCAACCTAATTCCTTATTTGGAAATTTTTCAAAAGGTTTTTCTGTCAGTTTTATCATATCTTGTTTTAAACAAGAAATCTGTTTTATTTTCTTCGGTAAATTCTGAAAAACATGTTTCTGTTGTTTTTGTTCAATTCTCCTTGCCAAAGTATTAAAAAAGCCAAAGTATTAAAAGCTTCAATATTGGTGCTCAGTATTAAAATGTTTAATTTCTCTCTATGGCGAGAAATTCAGATCATTAGGTTTTTAGAAAATGTCTACCATGTAACTGAGTTTTCCTAACTAATCATTATTAATGAATGAACTTGCTGATGTATGTTCTTTTATTCTCAAAATATGTAAACTGTATTTCTCAAATTGAAAATATGTTGCAGATTTTTCTCTGTGGAAAGCCAACTGACTTAGGTAATAATGTCTCATACACATAACTTATATCATTACAGCATATTAGAAAGAGACAACTGTTTAAGATCTTTCTTTTTAATGTAATTAATTGCAGAAATATCCTGGGGTCACGAAAAATATCAGTGATAAAAAGGGGCTGCGACTGAAGAAAGTTCAAGAAGACCCTGTTTTAGACCAATCCATTTTTCTCCTGTTTTGTTTCTCAGACGAATTATGTTTCTGTGAGAATTTTTCTGTATTTTTATTGTTTCAGCTGAATTGAAATACATGCTAAAATGTTTCAAATGATTATTAGAAGAGGATCAAATACCCCACATTATTATTATCACTATTTATCTCCTGTTTCAATTCTGAGTTGAATTATATTTTTGGATAGAATTTTTCCATATTACATATTTCAGTTCAACAAAAAATCAACTTTTAAAATATTGAGGAAAAGCATGTTCTAAAATGTTTCAAAATGAAAATGTGGGATAAATAAACACATAAATTAATTTTTTCTAGGAGTGTACGATTTCTTATATATATAAAGAAATTTAGAATCAACTTTTCACAAAGACAAAAATTGTAATTCAAATGAACTTCATAAAATCCTGTAAATGTAAAAGAATATTTTAAAATGTAAAAATTAAAATAAACCATCACAAGACCCCCCCCCCAAAAGTATAAAAGAACAAGAAAGAAGAGAAATCCAACCAACTTCAACATAACATCATCAAGTGGAGGTATGTCGAACTTAATTATATTTCCCCTTCTAAAACAAAATCCTTACTTTTCTGTATCCAGAATCA